TTTTTTTTTTATTTAAATGGTAATAATTGGTGACAAATTTTTAGGTTTCAAATTTTTTTTACAGTTTTCCATATGAAAATAAATAAACAATATATTTTTATAAAAATAGTAAATAGTAATAACTAATAAATATAAATTATGATAACATAATAGTTATACGCTTTTGTCGATTTAAGTACTTTTTGGTAATTTAAGTAATATTCTAGTAAAACCATTAAACATTACCAACTTTGAATATTCAGTTTATTCATTTTATGTATTATTTAAGAAATGTCTACATTTTAATGACTAGTCATAGGTATCTGAGAACTACTGATTCCCGACATTGGTGGTATCATAATATACATAGAAATAAACATAGTAAAATACTAAAATATACGAACATCATTGGCTTACATAATAAATAAATATACCTGAACTGAGTTACAATTTTGAGTAGGTGACATAAGTGTTAAAAGTAAAATCAAGTAAAAAAAAATATAAATATGATAATAATTATGAAAAACTAGAATAGTTAGTCAAAATCTAACACGTATAATTTTTAATTATAAAAAAAAATTATTAGAAATTATTATTACTATTATTAAAAATTATTCTGAGTTACGAATATTTTAACATTAGTTATACTTATATTGTGAATATAATATTAAAATTACATTATATTTTATTATATTTTATTCGGTACCTATGATATTTTCTCAAAAGATACTAAAAAAATCAACTATAACCCTATTCTTTCATACATTGTTCAATTTTTTCTATCACTATCCCATTTGATTTCATTGCTACATTTTACATTTTTTACTAGATTAACTCTTGGCTCTTATAAATATTTAGTGAATGTAAAATCCACACAAAATAAAAATATGACATCATCCATCATGGTAAAACTGTTATTATTGTCAATGCCACTTAAAATATTAAAGATACCTCATATTCTTAAGTTAAAGTTTAATTTAATTTAAATGCGTAGGTATAACCTAAGTTTATTATTGAACATAATAAAATAAAATTGAATATTCATGTTTGGAGGTGGTTATAGTTTTTAACAATATGATTGTGAGACGGATACAATTATGCGAATTGAATTTTCCAAATGTTTCATTCTATGAACTATTCTTTACCTTTTCATAAAACAATAGTTTTAATGGATAGAGTAATGGAAAATCATTTCAGAATTGAGTTCACCATGTAGACTGGGGGAGTCTTTGAAAACCACACTGCTATTTCCTCATTTGAAATTGGTATAATAAAACAGTAAAAGCCCCCTTTCTCACAATTATTAAGTTCATAGGGTGGGTTGCAAATTCGTTTTATGGATCATAAAACGACCTTTGTAAAAGTCTATATAGAACAATTTTTCTTATAATGGAGAGTTTTGTGATGTTAACAATGTACATTTCATATTTTGTTTGGTAGCTATAACGTAATTAGTTTAAAAAATGATTTTGTTGAATCTGAATTTACAAATCACAATTAATTTGGATAAAATGTCCAACTATTAAATAAAAAAATAACAGTATTTCTAAACTTATAAAATGTATTAAATAATCCTAAATATGACAGTTATTATTTGACGGTCAATTTAATATTATTAAGTTTAATAAGTATTAAAATATATAAGTAATTTTTATATTTTTAAAAGTCTTAATACTTCTATTATTGTTATTGGGATAAGATTACAAAATTAAATCTGACTCGATAATACACCTAGAATTTTAATGTACTTGAATTATAAATATTATATTATATTATCGTGTTCCCATTTTATAATATTATATAACTTGATTCGTTTTGATTGTTTTGTATGGAATACAATATGTTTTATACGAGATGCACACTTTTTAAAAATAAGACATCAAAGTGACATATTTTAACGAAGTCCAGCCGAACATATTAAAAACGTCAGTTTCCAGGCAAAAAAATAAATAAATACCAATTTTTGAACAAATGACGAACACCTTTGACAGCTTTATAAATATTATATTATTCTCAATAAATGAATTTCGGATAGTTCACTGAGACACTTTCATTTATTATTACTTTACGTGAGAACGTCATTGGGTGCACTCGTCAACATATACAAAGAGCCAAAATATTCATGGTGACAGAGGTTTTATAACATAATACGATAAGTTTGAATGCACACGTCAACGCCTCCATTTTTCCAGTCTGCAGGCGCTAAGTTAATGGGTACAGTACATTAAATCGGTGAGACTCAGTAAATGAACTGAGACTTATTAACTCAGCCTTGAGTAACTAAGGCCCGTAAAATATGTCTAGCACGAAAAAAAACTATTTTGACGTAAATTAATGTGTGTTATACAAACCATCGAAGTATATTATATAAAAAAGAGTAGCGATATTAATATTATGTTATTATTTTGTAATTTAATAAAAAAAAGCTTTAATAATATAGAACTATCTTTGAACTCCTATATTTTAAATTCTAGTATACGGTCAGTAATATTTTTATAAATAATTGAGCTTTATAATTATTTATATACATTTTATTTTTATTTTCAATTAAGAAAATGTATGTATAATATCATAATATATACAGTATACATACGTCATATACAATAAACATATTGGATCAATAAATTTACATTTTACAATCAACAAAGACTTGAACCCACCCACTGGCCATCAGTGACACTTCAAGCCTTTATTAAAATAGGTGCCTAAAAAAAATTATCTAATAGCCTATAATAGTCAGCTGCACTAAGATGTATTGGAAAAATCAATATAGTATGACATAATCTATTTTTTACATTAATGACTCTTCAATACCTTTGGATGCCTCTCTACATAGTGTATAAATTTGTAACTCAACAGATGTGCCAAGTGTCAATGGATGATTTATTGTTATCTACAAACGACATTGTACAATATTGTAAAAATATAATATAACGTATTTCCTTGGGACAAAATATTCCTTACGAAAAATCATTCAAAGTTTATCGTATTGGATACTTCACTGTGTATAATAAAACGGCTGAAAACAAATTGTATTGGTTATTCAATATTTTGGAGGTTTTTCTTCCCTATTCGGCGTTTTTGCGATTGCTCGGCATTCCCACGGGATTGTGTTGTCAATAGGAAAAAGCGACAGGGTCATCGCAACATTTCTAAAGCTATAATCGAAATGAAGATAGATCCAGTATATTATTATCACTTTAAAATAGTTGAGAAAAATGAAACGGAATAGTTTTTAGAACAGATATAATATTAATGTTTGGTGAAAAATTAAATTGAGTTATCAAACGTAAAATAAAATAATACCAAATACGAAATTTGTTATAAACACGCAATGCAGTGTATATTATACCCTAATAGTATAATATAATAATATGGACTAACATGGAGTGTTGGTTGAAATGAAATAAAAATATATTTTACTTAATTATTGTAATACAATATACACTAGAACTCCAGTTTAACGCTTGAAAAATACCATAGCATTTATATAGTTGTATTTACCTTTCATCATTACTGTTAATTTAAATTTCATACTTTGAAATAATGAAATCATGAATGTTTGAGTAAATGTTAATAATGGCATTACCTATATTATTTACGATTTACTGTTTTTTTTTTTGTTTTTGTTTTTTTGAATGTTTACAGAACTAATGTACTAAAATAAATATGAAGTACTTAAATTTATACCTAAATAATATGTTACGTTAAAAACATGGAGTGATTAAATAAAAACATAATAATATTAAAATAGTAAAATACGAAAATGGACATTTTTTTTCAACACAACAATTGAAAACATCATGTTTAGGTAATGTTATACCTAGTAAATCAACTCTCAATAAATTGATCTACAGCTTACTGTTGACAGATTTTTAGATAAAAACATAACTTTAAATGTATTAAATCAATTACTCGGTGGTTTATCGTTTAACTTGTCATCTATATAAGTAATATATTAGTAAAATATTATAAAACCCATTTTTGGATTCTTACAGCGATGCGATAAAGCCTAATGGTTTTCCAATGACAATGGGTGTATATCTTTATATCTCAGTAACCACGTTTTAGAGTATTAGTACTTTAAAAGTGCTCTGTGCCATGTAGAAAATTGATCGGAAATTAGATTTAAATTGTATTTTGTCTGTGTCAAAATCACTAACTTCCATTACTATTTATGAGAAAATCACAAAATCGAATGGAAAAAAGCCGAATCTACGGTAAAATCAAACAATGTATATCGAATTGAGGTCCAATCAGTATATTTTTAAGATAGTATAAACTTAATAAAATTTGAGTTTAAAAAAAAATACTATACATCAAGACAATCACTAAAATAATAACGTTTTATAAATCGAAATTTAGACGAGATATATAAGATGAAGATGTTGTACTACCGAAATAGTATAGAAACTGAGTATGAAACGTGTAAAAGTCTCGTTTTACAATTTTCTTTAAATTTTCAACCTAAAACGTCAATATAGATTTTATTCATAAATACATCAAGTAATTTTAGTACATCTTTACATACATAAATAGATGACTAATGTGTATAGATATATGAATGTATGGTAATTTATAACAATTAGGTATATAAATTATACATTAATACATTATTACAGTCATTATATTTAACGATCAACTTACAATAACCAATATTATTGATTAGGTAGGTAGCTGATTTATTCAACTTATTTTATTAATGGGTTTTGAATTACAACGAACTAACAAAAGTCATTTGAAGAGAAATCGTTATCTTACGTTTGAATATCCAATGTCGTCAACATTTTAACTTCAACCGCTCCTGAAAAATATAATGCGGATTTACGCTGAACTTTTTTCCAATAAACAAACTTAATAGAAATCTTGTATTAAAATATTGTTAATATTGTTCAAATATTTGGTATTTAAAATTTAAATTATAAAGTCTATATTGTATCCTTAGTGCGTACCTACAGTTGCATTGATTGATTCTAATTTAGTTTCATGTACTTAATGCATTTTAATTGTATTTCATATAGGTATGGGAGTCCTCATCATAGCCGATCACAGAGTGTTCGGACGCCTGGCAGCAAAAGCACGGTACAATTGCAATTGGGACCCAATGGCATACCCAAAAACCGTTCCAACCAACTTACCTTACCACAACAGAGGTCTAGAGTGGCTAGTATGCCAAATACTGGTGTTGAAGAGGAATATTATCGAATCCGACAGTTTTCAATCTCTGGAAAGGGGATCATCAACCGAGGAGATTCGCTAAAAAGTCGGAGATCAAAATCCAACAACAGTGTTGCATCCAGCAATTCTAGGTAAAAAAAATTGAATCAAATGTAAACTAAACCATAATATTTTTGATATACAGGGACTGATGGGCTAATGGGGACATAGAGATTTCCCCAAACTGTAGGTAGCCTCAACGCCAAGATTCACTACGTTTGTTGTTTTTTCTTTATGAATGGCATTAAAAAAATTCAAGTTCAGTCTATACAAAATATTCTCCGTGGCTAACTTGGTGTACTAAAATTAATTTTCTAAATTTTCCAACTATTGTTTTTCACGCCGTGATAATAAATAGTATTTCTCCTAAGTCTGGGAAAGAATTTCTGCGTGAAATAATAATTTTTGTGGTTAGAGAGCGAAGCTTTGCATGTTGTGTAATTTTCGTGTGTGGCCATTCAAACATTTTCCCAATTACAAAAATGTGTCCATTTGCTCTGGTTATGGACATATTTTATTTAGGTAGTCAGTACAATTTTATATCAACCTTAATATGTATTTTTTGAAAATGTAAATAGCTACTATGTTTTCAATAAATTAATTTAAAAATTATTATTTAGTTTGAGTATGTGAACGCATTATAATAGTAATGTATGCTGAAATGGTATGCTTTTCTGAGATCAGTTTATACAGCAAGCACATTTTACACACGTCTCATATACAGACTGTTGTTTTATAGAGTCACATTTGTCTTGATTTCTTCAAACACTTAATTTATTAGACTTACAATTTTTAAGTCATCACTTCTTTTTCTTCCTATTTTTCACCCATCACTCCCAACTATATTAGGTCAGTCACCCTTAGCCAACATCTCCATTACCTATATGGCTCTCTCCCAAATATCTCTTTTAGTCATTTAAGTTTTCAAATAAAATTTAAACAGACTTTTTACTTATATAATTATAATATGTATCTTATAAGTTATAAGTATGTTTTACTGTTTTAAATACAACTTAATGTTATATACAATTATAAACGAATACTCTTACATACGATTTAAATTTTAAAATTATCAAACAATCTTCTGACTTCTATCAATGACTGATTCCCGACAATATTATTCACTTTTTATTAAAACATAAAAGAATAATTTATGACTGCAGGTATGCCTTGCAAACATATAATAATAATATAGTTTCACTGAAATACTGTTAATGGATAGCGAAAACTTAATATTACAAGGAACAATGTTCAATTTTAAATACTTAAGTATTATATTTCAAGAAAAAATATTACATTTTTAAATGATAAACCCACGGTTTATTTTTTGTACAATTTTCTTTATCAAAATAATATTAAAATTATACGTGAATTACGAAAGTTACAAAAATGCCATGATAATGATTCAGTAAAATATTTCACCATAAAAAACCTTGATCGATTCGTCGAAGTATCACAGACCATAATTTAAATTCTAAAAAAACCTGTTATTTATAACTTATGGTCAAAACCTATGTGGTCGGCGTTTTGTATAGACATTTGATTATACTAAAACCATTGGACCTTATCCTTTGTGAGTTAATCTCCCTAGCAGGAGGTTTATTGCGAATTTTATTTCTATTGGACTTGCTGTATAATGTAGTGACGTCTGTTTTTGTTACATGACCGCTGCGTGACCAACTTGTGGCCAAATCACTGTAATTCCTCAACATCTTTAACTCTGGCGCAATGCGTTTGAAATGTTTTTTATTACTCATTTTTAATTAATCGTGTCAATAAGCTTGACGCATTTACAATGCTACAAATAATACACGACGAAATATATCTTATTTATTAGTGGTCCTGTTGGTCTTGGAGGTCTTCCAAGAAGATATTATCGTGAGGTAGGAGTGCTATTAAATGTTAATTCCGGTTTGGATGTTTGTTCGCTTATTTTGAACCGTAGAGTTTCTTTGGTTTTCAGTCTGTCGTGGAACTGTATTAATTGATTTTTTGATGCAGCGCAGCCAATGCTGTTCATGTGTAGGTTTAGTTAAGTTGGCTTAAAAGCTCCGTCCTGTTATTGACGTATATCACAGCAGAGAACATTTCATCTGATGGATTTAGCCGTGATTTAATACGGGGCATAGGAGTTTATAAGCTTTTTGTTAATGTGGATTTTCCTGGTTAATTTTTCGTTTCGGTGTATTCCTAAGTACTTCTCTGAGCCAACTTCGTTTGAAATGAGAATACCGTTCATTGTGCAACTGTCTCATGTCTGATTAAATTTAATAATTTAAAGTTACGGGACTCATCTGTCTAAGTTTGAGGCTGTTCAATAATTTAATATCCAACAGTCAATCAACACATCACCTATAACTTTAATAAAAAGTCATACGCTCGTTCGACGATTTTTTAATAAATAGATACGATATAAAATTAAAAAAATTAGAACACTACACATCGGATACTACTGTTTTAGTTGCACATTTTGTGATAGAAGTTAAGTTTGTGGGCTAAAATCATAATAATATTTAACCTATAAAGTTTGGATAACTTTCGAAGATTTAGTTAAATTGGTTTGCAATATGTATTATAAGTATAACTGTATGGTCAAGCCGATGTGCCTATATCATTGTTAAATCTTATTTTTAATATATTATTACCTTAAAACATTAAATTCAAATTTTGTTCTCAAAAATGTGGTTTTACTTTTTTCTAAGTGATTTTATTATAATTGTAACAAATAATTTTCTAGAATATAAAATTAACTCATACAGCAACGTTTAATTTTTTTTAATTAAGTCAGCTAGACTTTAAACTTTTGAAGAGCTAAAAACAATTAAATATTTTAAAAAAAGTACTTTAAATATTCACATTAAAAACATTGATACGCTTTAAGTAAAAGCAGTTATTCTATCATTTCACATTTAGTTAACATTTAATAATATGTTATGTCATAATAGTCATAAATTATAATATTTAAATAAATATTTAGTCTTTATTATTTTTACAAGATGTCTGTTATTATTAATTTATGCTTATAAAAAAAAAAATGATGTTATTACTAATTATATAATTATCCTCACAACATTTTATAATTTAAGTATTTTTAATATATGTGTAGGTACAGCTTTGGCAGGTTTTGAATAAAATATTCCCTCTCTTCTCCACCTATTAGAATTGAAAATGTAGTACAATAAAATTGATTTAATTACAAAACGCTTGTTTTAAGTCTTAATTTAATAGTCAGGTGTAATTTAGAGCTATTCATTACAATACTTCCTGAGACTGGGAGATGGTTTTAATATTTGTATTGCCATCGCAGTCGGTACAAACGCAGACCAATTTTAATTAAATAATTCATAATATATATATATATATATATATATATATATAAATTGTATTTAATGATCTGATATTTCGAGTTGTTAAAGTATCTTATTAATTACATTTATTATATAATATATGCATTATACATACATAAATACAATATACATACATACATACATACATATACATACATAAAATATAAAATGTTTTATACACATATTTTATTTAACTGCAGTTCAATGTAAAATAATACAACTATTGTAGATATTTTAAATCAATCGCCAATCATTAAACCGATGAATTTCGGCTCTTTTCAACGCATCGAATACAGCATATAAATAATAAACACATTAATTCAGAATACCAAAGTTAGTATTTCAAAAGTTGATACGACATTAAGCTTCATGTAGATCATCTTGAACTGATTACCAAACTTATTGTGGTACTATTCTGCACACGTTTGATGGTGTAGGTACTTCTCAATAATAAGTGCAAGTCCGTGAAAATTACCACAGACCAAACAAACATTAAAATATTAAAATACATATGTGTTCAATAATATGGTTTTTCAATTTAAAAATATTAATAATAATATTTGTTCGATTATTTTAATAGGCTAGAGATTGGCTCGATAATAGAGTCATCTGAATCGAAAGTATTTAATTATTTTTTTTAAACAAATTCTAGGCAAATAAAAATAAATACATTAATTAAAAACCGAATGAATACAATATTTTTTTACAAAATAATCATGTTTTAAAAACATATCCCTTTTTATTTACAATAAAGCTAAAAAAAAATCCAATTAGCAAATTCATTAAAAAACGAAAGGCAATTATTTTGAATTCAATTTTTTTATATTATCAGAAAGTAATGCCATTAATCTGAAAAATGTTATGGAACTACTAATCTATTTAAAACTAAATACTCTGATTTTAGATTTATCATATCTCCAAACAACTTTCCATTCATTTGGCTCATTTGAATACATATACCTACCAAGAAATAACAAAATATTAAATACTTCAGTACCTAATTTGTCCCACATTTAATAAGTAAATGTCTTATACGGCTTTATAATATATTTTGTTTAAACATACATTAATAATTAATTTAAGTTGTGTACCACAGACCATGCAAAAAAATATTATACTTATTGGTACAACGTTTTTACACATGAACATAATAATATCTAACTAGATAAAAGCAAGATAATGAGTTACATGCACGTGTAGAGTAATGTAACTAAATTAAGCATACAAAAAACCTTTCTGTATTCAAAATAATATTTCATTTTGAATAAGGTTATTATAAATCAACAAATTAACATAACAATATGCAAAAACAAACAACATACATAATCTATACTATTTTATAAAGAAGAAAGATTTGTTTGTTTATAACAAATAAACTCAAAAACTGCTGTACTGATTTCAAAAATAAAATTCTATCACCAATAGAAAGCTACATTCATGGGAAGTTTCATAGGTAGTATCATATACTTTAAGACGTGATAACTAACCAGCGAAGTGTTTATTAAATGATATTTTGTATGAACGGCTGAAATGGAAATAAAATAGACATTTTACACAACAAAATATTGTTATAAAACATAGTAAAATCAATAGAAATCAGAGTTAGAAATATTTAATTCATCGTTTCAACATTGCAATTTTAATTATTACATTGATTACTGACACATATTTAATTAATTATAAATTTTGAATTTTGATTAGCACTGTAAATTGCGTCATTTTTCCAAAGTTATTTAATATTATTACTTTTATTTTTTCATAACTATTTGAGTGAAAAGTAATATTACTCTATGAACTTTCCACCATTGTCAAAATAACTTATTTTACGGTTATATAATCTGTTATCGCCAATTGTATTACATTCGGATATGACACTACCACATCTACGTTTGGATACGCATTACTATCTAGACGTTCATTCGCCCACAACAATCACAAACTAAATAAAGTATATTGAAATAGAACGAAACCTACTATATATATTTTTTTTCAAAAATAACTGACCACTCACTTTTATTAAATTGACAAATATGATTTTACAACCGAGTCTCATAATATTACCCAGCAGTTTTTTCTCGATATTTCTATAACAATATACTATTATACTTTTAGAAATTTAATATTCCGAGTACCTATACGACCCATTATATATTACAATACGGAGCTATAACTATTATTATAGTCGCGCGCCCGACGGTCATTGTCGTGTACGACATAAAACAATATATTATCGCCCAGTGACGGTAATACGTACAATATTGTAATCGTTTCTGTTTTTTCCAGCACGGAACACTTGACGGCCTCCAACTACACTGTGATCGGCGTCGGCTGCGGTGGCGCTGGCGGTGGAGGCGGAGGGGGAGGTGGCTCCTATCCGGGTTCGGCCAGGACCAGTGCCGGCACGTCGTTGGCCTCTTCCAGAGAGTCCAGTTGCGCCAGCTGTCCAGGCATCACTCAGCCGTTCCGCATAGCCATGTTGGGTGCCACGGGCGTCGGCAAGACGTCGCTGGTGTGTCAGTTCATGACATCCGAGTCACTGCACATTTACGACGCTTCCATTGGTGAGTGTGTGCATAATATTATCTGCTGCAGTTCGTCTGCATTTTACGGGTCAGTGGGTCACACCGGTCGGAGGTGACGGGGAGGGGGACACTGTCGCCACCGACGGTCCATGTGGGCAGTGTTATGGACTAGCCACGTTCATAGAACGATGATCAACCGTCCGTATTTTACTCACCAGCATAACTGCAGTGCCGACGCCGCCGTAGACAGGAATTTAATATCAGAGTGGGGAGAGGGGCATCGTAGTAGAAAATAATACTTTAAATTTCTTAAATGTTCGTAAATACATTTACATTATTTATACGCTGTACTGGAGGGGGGAGGGAGTTGAAAACCCTAACTCCTCCCACGTTGTCTGCGGTCTTCAGCATAATATTATTATGTATACCGTCGCAGTATAGACTAAAGTAAAAACTATTTTTTAACAGTATATAATCATACTGCTGCATTCATCTCTTTTACGACTATAAAAACTATTATGACAGTTTCCCAGTAGACTAAGGTAATCTGACTCGCTTTATATTATGCAATAAAAACTAATTGACACCAGTGTATTGATTTCCAGTTGATATTGATACTCCAAAGGTTCACTCTGTATTTATGTCTATAAAAATTATTATCATCATGTTCCTTTGACGGCCTGTAGGCAAAAAATTATCATTGACTTATTCAAGTGCCTACCTATTGCCTTTAACAGTACGATTACTCTCACTATATTATAAGTAGAGCTGTATAAGCTGATATAATTTGCTATTTAAATAATAATAAATCTTCACCTTGGTACTCAAAAATTAAAATACGAGTGTAAGTCTGTACTACTAAACCTCTATTTACTAAGCTCCGCATTCATCGTTATTTATTATTATCAGACTTCAATCAAATCTATTCAACTAGAATTTAAGTATTTATTATTCATGCGATATGTTTAATACGCTATGTGTCGAATAAGAATTTGGAATAAAAAATTTAAACATTTAATTTTAATCAGTAGGTACCTATAATAAATTATAATAATATATTGTATGTTTATCTGTAATATTGGCGACGATACATGTTGACTGACGTGTAAATATATTTTGACAGTAGCAAACAGGAATTGTAAAGTAATTCGATATTATTCCATACAATGGTAGATGGCATTATGACATTAAAATTAAAGACCGTCTTATACTCTTATTGACAATATGTCAAGCATAAAATAAAATGGTTTTAACTTTTGACTTGTTTATTTATTGAGCAGGTACTATAGTGTTTCGATTAAAAACTTTCCATTATTTATTTTATCCTTCATTCCTGTACATAGTAAATACACCTACTCGTCTTTATTATTGGACAAAGTTAAAAATGATAGATGTTTCAGTTATGTAATTACATTAAAACATCAAAGACCTATAATTTCAAGTTCAAATATCCACAACTGCTATTTATATGACGTATTGACTTTTTATTTTAAATAATAAATAAACAAATAACTGTACATACTTCTAGGCTTTAGTAAAATAGTAGATCATAAATATCGTCTAAAAATCTTTAAAAATGTATAATTATTGTAAAATGTATTGCTACAAATAATGTATATTTTTTAAATATTAGTTTAGAAATAATAAAATAGTACCTACCTACTATTTATTTTAAACAATTTAAAATGACTTAGACCGTGTTCAGAATATCAACGAGTTTAGAAAAGTGGTATTGCACTCTACGTTTATTTATTAATTTAGCATACTTTAATAAAGAGTAAAATTCACATAAAAAGCATCGACTTAAATGTATCCAACCATCTTATTTTAGGTTATGTGCAGAGAAACGATTGATAAACAATGATATATTGTGTTTTTTTTGTCTTAGCAAATTTAGAATAGTTGGTAATTTGGCAGGTCAAAAGTAAAAAATACAAAGTACATTTCTAATTAATCATGAAAAACTAAAAACAAAAAAAGGGAAAATGGCAATGGACAGCGTAATTTAAAATATTTTGGATCATTTTGAGATATTTATAATCATTTGACAATTTTCATATTTTTACATTTTTCCCAAATTATGTATATAATTTTTTTCTTGCCCAAAATTAAGGTCAAAATTCTTGAAAATGTAATAAAAGTTTACCCTTACATAGTTCATACAACATGTCGTAACAGCGTCATTTCATAAACTATATAAATGTAGATGATTTTCAGTCTAAGTTTATTATTTCCCTACACAAGTTGTAAAAGATCCGTACATTTCCTTTTTTGGATAATATATTTTTAGCGATGTATAAAAGAAGACCTTGCAATCTATGTCCTATGTTATTTATAAAAAATTGTGATTGTCTTGTTGATTATGTTATATACATTTTAATACACATTTATTATACAATTATTATTTTTTTGGGGGGTTGAAGCTTCGATAACTCAGGTCATTAGCCTGTGGGACTGTTAGGGAGGGTACTGTAGGTTTTGAACACGTGTGTGTTTTTTTTGGCAGAACTTTTAGGTGGGCACCCGTAGGTATCTGCCATGCCCGGGTAGGGGATGCCGGACTCTCTCTCCGGACACCGTGACTGCCCGAAAAAAAATGCCGCCCGTGGCCGAGTTCGAACCGACGACGATGCGAGTCCCAACCGACGCCTTAATCAGCTCGGCCACTTCGTCCCCCACAATTACAGTAACTACAATAAATAATTTATTTCTATATACAGTTAAAAATAGTCATAACCTAATCAATTATATTGTACAATAACTGTGCATAAAAATATTTGTCAAAACAATTTAAAAGTAAATATTTTCAGTATTGAAATATTAAACCTACTTTAAATACAAAACTTTAATTTATTTACTTAAAATAAAAATATTATATTAAAAAAAATCGTTTAAAACTAATGGACCATTTGGTAACAAATTGAAAAATTATAAACGTTGAAATAAAGTCTTTGATTCTTTTTAAATTTAAATTAATATTTTTCTTTATATTATATTATTTTATTTCTTTAGTGTAACTTCCAAAGCATATTTTTAACGACATTTATATCTAATTATAATTAAATTGGAAACTGTCATTCTTTATAATATTTTTTTATGTTTTGAAAGCAACTAATATAATCAATATAATTTTCATAATATTATTTATATAGAATAGAAATATTATTTAAGAGTATTAAATAATTGTATGGCTAATTTAATATTTTCACTGTTGATCGCTGATTTGAGAAACTTGAAAGTATATAATATTTAAAAGATATAATCCATCAACATATAATTACAGAAAATATTTAAAAATATTAAATGTTTATACTTTATTTTAATTATTCTTAATCTAACCTGTCATATAAGAATTAGATTGTAAGACGTGGGAATTTTTATATTATTAATGTTTCAATATTTTTTGCTGCCATTTTAACTAGTCAGAATATTGCCTGTTTTTTACTTTAATATAGTAAAAAACTAAATATTTAACTTACATTTGACTAATTTTAGTCTATAAATGCATTGATCTATAATATGCTATGTAAACATTTTCAATTCGTTATCATTAGGAATTTTTTATTTTAGATTCTGAGTGAAACGATGAATGTATTGATTTTACAATGATGTGTTTTTTTTTTTGGGGGGGGGGGTCAAAAGTACACATTTTCCAGTTGTTCTCTGGCGCCGTGAAAAACAAAAGAAAAATTAAGGAAAAACGGGAATTTGTACGTAAAATCTGTTTACGAAAAAATCGATTTTGGTTTTTGGTGTGCAACTCTTAAAGAAATGACCTTAGGTACATGCAATTTTGTCTGGATGTTTATATTTGTATTTTCTATACACCATAACATTTTCCAAATATTTTGACTTATTTTGAGCTGTTTACGGATATTTTTAGTTTCCATTTTTTTCAGTTTTTTTTTTCTATAAATATCCATAAAATTGTATTTGTTGGTTAAAAAAGCTTGAAAATTTAATAGAAGGCTTCTAGTATATTGTTTCAAAGGCAGATGAAAAAATTAAAAATCCACAGTCACAATTTTTTTATAAGTATTTAGACCTCAAATATTGACAAAATACGTAAAAATGACGAAAATTTGTAAATTATTTCAAGTTAGAAATTCATGAAAAATGTTCTTTTTAAATCTAAGATTTGAAAATGTAATACAAGATTCCTCGTAAGTTTGTCTAAATTTATCAAAAAAAATGTATAAAAGAAAGTCAAATTAAATTTTTATGAGAGTTTGAAATTCATATTTTTACAACATTTGATATTCACATGATTTCTCATATAACAATTTTCTTATTTTGTTGTAATTAAAAGCGAATGACTGTAGATACTTGAAAAGTCACTGAATGTTTATATTTTTCATTTTTACACCCGATACAATTTTGAAAAATACACTGACTATTATTGAGCTGTTTACGGACATTGTCAGTTACCAATTATTTTTAGTTTTTTTTTTTCTATAAATATCAAATAAAATGTTATTTTGTTGATGAAAAAAGCGTAAAAAGTTGAATGCAAGGCTCTGATATATTGATACAATAGCAGTGAAAAATATTATAACATACATATCCACAATTTTTTTTATAAGCATTTCAAGTTCAAATTTGCAAAATGTATCACAATTAAAAATTTAATAATACTATTGTCGTTGAAACATTTATAAAATGTTCAACTTTTAGAAACTAAGGATTGCAATATTTAAAACAAGATTCCACTTAAATAGGTTATATCTAAATTAATTTATTCACTAATAGCATAAACAGGATTGTAATATCCTAGGCTGACTGACCGTTTTCCGCTCCGAGTCGTTTTTCTTATACAATGATATTATATCATTGAATTCAAATTTAACACCATCCATTACAGTGACCCACTTGTAATCTACTGTACAGCAGAGCGACTTTTTTTATTTTTATTAATTAATATAAAAATGAATCACTGAATATGTTGCTAAGCGTAAATCTCGAGAACGGCTGGTCCAATTTGGCTCAATTTTTTTTTAATTGCCAGGATAAGAAAATTTTAGGAAAATCCACCGGAAGAGTAGGAAATCTGGATGTAAAAAATACAACAGTGGCGCAACAGTGTATTATATATTGTTTGCTATTGATTAATAGTGCA